GCCCGTGGGCCGACGGCGCGGCGCATGGCGCCCAACTGTCACCCGCCCGCCCCGGCCCCTCCCTCCCCCGCCTCCACCACCAGCCCCTCGTGTGGCCGCAGGCCCTCTCATGTGTCGCCAACCCCCTCCACTGGAAGCCCCCACACTCGCCATCGGCTCCGTCCCGCGGAAGCAGACCCTCAGGATGCGGCGGGGGAAACTACCGAATCCAGTGACACGTTGGGTTTCCTCCTCTCCCCATTTTCCCCGTCACTGACCCCTCAACTAGTATCCAAATGGCGGTTCGACCGCCTACGATCCCCATCGAAGTCGGGAACAAAACTTGTTAACTTTTACATCCCGAATCCGTGTGGTCGGTGTGAACTCATCGCTGGGCGCTTTGCTGCCCATGACATATGCTCATTAAACATTTACAACACGGGAACTAAAGCAACGCTGCCAGGACGGGGAGCGTGGGGCGCGGTGAAAGGCCAGGGGGCTTCCCAAGGAAAGGAGATTTAAACGAGAAACGTCTCACACCAGCACGCGGCGAGAGGCCGGAGGAGGGCCCTTTGCACCGAGGCCAGCGCCCACCATCTCCGGGCGAGGTAGGCCCGGACCACGCCGTTGCCCACTAACCGCTGCGGCCCAGGCAGTGGCCGTGGCCTCGGGAGGCCGAGGCTCGGGTATATTCCCGAGCGTGTGGTGGTAGCTAGGCACCAGAAAAAAAAAAAAAAAAAATATATATATATATATATATATACATTTATATATATATATATTTTTAAACCCGAGTCACCGCGACCCATTGCAGACCCCAGGGCCCTGGAAAGCGCTGGGGGAGGGGACGCCCATGTCCCCGGAAGAGGCCCCCGGACCCAGGATTACAAGCCGAGAGACCCACCTGGCGGGGACTGTCCGTTCACCGTGGCCAGGGCCGGCGGCAGCGCGTTCTTAGTCCACGGGTTCACCTTGGGCGGGGGGGCCTCCACGAAGTCTCGCCTCCCGCCGCCGCCCGCGGCTCCGGTCGCTCCTCCGCCAGCGCCCGGTTCGCCGCCGCCCTCCTCTCCGTCGCTGCTGGTCTGGCCTTCTGCGCCTGGCGGCTGCGGCGGCCGCGGACTCTCGCGCTCCGGCTGCCCAGCGCTTTCCTTGTAGGGCTTTCC